CGGGGCGGGGGAGTCCACCACCCTAAATAGGTTTAAGGTGAGGGGGGAAAGGTTTAAAAGGGACTTAAGGGCAACTTTTTCATGCAGAGGGCAGTGCGTGTATGGAATAAGCTGCCAGGGGAAGTGGTTGAGGCTGGTACAATTACGACATTTCAAAGGCATTTGGATGGGTACATGGAGGTGGCAATGGCCAGTGGTATTATCGCTGCACTGTTAATCCAGAGACCCAGACAACGTTCTGGGGACCTGGGTTTGAATCCTGCCACGGCAGATGGTGGATTTGAATTCAATAAACATCTGGAATTAAGAATCTAATGATGACTGTGAATCCATTGTCGATTGTTGGAAAAACCCGTCTGGTTCACTAATATCCTTTAGGGAAGGAAACTGCCATCCTTACTTGGTCTGGCCTAAAATGTTGCTCCAGACACAGCAATGCAGTTGACTTAATTGCCCTCTGGAGCAATTAGGAGTGGGCAATAAATGCTGCCTGGCCAGCAACACCCTCATCCCATAAATGAAACAAGAAACGAATAGGAAGGGTTTAGAGGGATATGGGCCAAACGCTGGCAATGGGACTAGATCAACATAGAATAGTTGGTCAGCATGGAGAGGTTGGACTGAGAGGTCTGTTTCTGTGCTGTACAACTGACTCTACAAAAGCAATTTACAAGAACGGTAAAAGGGATGCAGTGCTTCAGATATGTAGAGCAAGTTCAGAATTTGGTTTAGACTGCTTACAGCAGAGAGATTGACAGGAGATCAGACAGAAGCTTTCAAAGTTATAATGGGTTTGAACGGAGTTAAAAAAGAAGGAAAAACAATTTCTAGTGACATGAGTGTTAACCAGATTTTACTGAATCAGGAAAAGAATTAGAGGTGACAGTTCTTGTTAAGTGGAATGCATTGCCCGAGAATGATGGTGGAGGATTATTCAAAGGCAATGTATGTACACATTTCTCATTGAAGGGGAAACAATTTACAGGATTATGCGAAAGTTATTGGAGTAGCTTTCAAAGAATTGGCACAGGCACAATGGACTGAAAGGCTGTGTATTAATTCAGGATTCCAATTATGGACCGTGATCCATAATTCTCTTTGACAGCACAAACATGCAGCACCCAATCAAATTCCAATTATCATCTTAAAATACAAATTCCAATCATCATCTTAACATACACTGCCCATGTAACAAGAACATCAGCAAATAGGCAGGTCACCATGCCAGTTTGTCATGGACAGAGGGACTGTCTTCAGAGAAAAGAAATCTCAGTCAACTGAGCCAACCATTGTACTCTGAGGGAGCTCTGCCAAAGTCAAGCTAGGGACATTTTCAGTTTAGTGCACAACCTGTTGTGAAAAGGTCAAAAAGGTAATAACCCATTACATCAAAAGGACAACACTATCCATTTTCAAGTTTCCAAAAGTCTCTCAATTCACCAAATTATATGTATATACAGTTTAATAGAAGTTCTAAACAGAAAACCATTTAAAGTCGGAGGCCTTTAAAATCTGCATGAAGTCTTTTCTTCATTTCTGTCTCTTCCTCATGTCCCCCCTCCCCCCAACCCCGATCCTTTTGAGTGGGTATGTTTTGTACCTACTTTGCCTACCTAGGCTGCTCTTGATTTTGAATATTTCAGATCTCCTCTCAGCCTTCTTTTCCAAGGAGGACAATCCCAGCTCCTCAAAACTGTCCTGATAACAAGTTATTCATCCCTGGAACCATTCTTGTAAACCTCTCACTCAACAGATGCTGCCAGGCCTGCTGAGTTTCTCCAGCACTTTGTTTTTACTTCAGATATCCAGCATCTGCAGTGTTTTGCTTTTATTTGAGTTGAGTCAGTTTATTTGGGAAGCACAACAGTACTTGCTCCTGTTCTCTAGCTATGGCCTTTGTAAAAACAGACCACCTTACCATGATTTGTTTGTGCAATTCACCACCTTCTAAATATTCAGGCAATTTAGTCTAAGGTTGTTCCACCATGATGGAAAAGTTGACAGATACACGAGAGCTGAAGTTGAAGAACCATGAGTCAGTACTTTAATCTATGAACAATTAAAACAGGGAAAGCAGATTAACTGAAGTATAAGCAGTCTAGTTGCTGCTGGGTGTGTTCAGTACATCACCATGATATTCTTTTGCTTAAATTCAGTCATGGTATCTAGAAAAATTGAGGACAAAAACTTGGCGTAAGCAGTAAAATGTGGGAAATGTAAACTTGCACTTTGAAAGAAAGGTAAAGCAACATATTGTATAACTGGAGACTGAAGAACTCGGAAGGATCTGTGCGTCCTGGTACATTAGTGACAAAAAAAAAGAACAGCAAGAAATTTAGTAGGCAAATGGCATGTTTTCTTTACTGCCAAGGGGAAGGTTTTCTTAGCATTGGCAAGACAGCTCCTGGAATAGTATACAACTTTGGTCTCATTTTATGTAGAGTTTATTCACATGACTAAAACCTGAGTGGTGTGTATATGCGCACAGGGTGGGGTTGCAATTATGTCATCATGATAGATTGGGCAGGTTGGACTCAATCATTGGAAAGTAGAAGAATGAGAAGTGAACTTCTAGGAAGAAGGGACAGAATTTAAAGATTAGCGCTCTCCCATTTCAGATGTTTTTCTCTAAAGGGTCATGAGTCTGTGGAACTTTCTTCCTGACCGCACCGTTGAATACTAAGGCAAAGGTGGATAGATTCTTGACAAACAAGAACCAACAATCATCATGGGTACACAGGAAAGTGGATTTGAAACCAAAGTCAAATTAGGCATAATCTGGAGTGCCAGAGCAGATTGGAGGGGCTGAATGGCCTATTCCTGTTCCAGGTTCGTACACCAGCCTTAACTTTATTGACCGTTCCTCCATCACAAGGTCAGAAATGGGGACATTAAATGATTAGACAATGTTCAACATCACTTTTGAAGCCGCAGATACTCAAGTCATCCGTGTCCATATGTTGGCTGAATGGCTGGTTTGCAGCGTAGAGTGACAGCAATAGCACAAGCTAAATGCCTACACTAGTTCAGTAGAAGCCCGAGACAGGTGACTCAGACTGGAGTATGACTCTCTGGGACTACTGTGGCTTTTCTGTCCACTACGTCACCAACCCCTCCACCCCACCTAGTGACCAAAAACAAACTGAATGACACCAGCCATATAAATATTGTGGTTACAAGAACATGTTAGAGGCTATGAATTCTGCAGGTGACACAGCTCCTAACTTCAATGCCTGGTCATCTATAAGTCACAAGTGCGATGGAATACTTTTCACTAGCCTGCGCCTCCAACTGCAATTAAGAAGCTAGGAAGCTGCTCAATTGCCAGCACATCCACAAACATTAATTCCTGTTAACACCAATGCAGTGAAAGCATTTGTAAGATTCAAAGAATATCTCACCATGGCTCCTTTGACAGCACCTTCCTTTGGGCAGACAAGTGGAGAGTAACATTCATGCCATAAAAGCCAGGTAATGACTATCCTCAATGAGAAGCAATTTAACCACCACCCCTTGACATTTAATGTCATTACCATCAATGAATCCCCACTATCAACATCCTGGTGGGGACATTGACCATCAACTCAACAGAGTTAACCACATGAATACAGTGGCTATAAGAGCAGATTAGAAGCTAGGCATACTGCATCAAGTAACCCACCTGACTCCCAAAAGCCTGTCCATGATCTACAAGGCACAAGTCAAAAGGGTGACGGAATACGCTCTTCTTGCCCGAATAAGTACAACTCCAAAACATTCAAAGTTTGACATCATCCCGGACAAAGCAGCCCGCTTGATTGGCACTACATCCACAAGCATCCACTCCCTCCACTATTGATGATCAGTAGCAGCAGTATGTATTATCTACAAGATGCACTACAGAAATTCAAAGATCCTTAGACAGCACCTTTCAAACCCATTACCACCTCCGTTGCATAGGACATGGGCAGATACATGGGAATATCACTACCTGCAAGTTCCTCTCCAAGCCACTCACCATCCTGTCTTGGAAATATATCACCATTCATTCATTGTCACCGGGTCAAAATCCTGAACCCCTGTTTTAATGTGGGTTACCTACAGCACATGGACTACCATAGTTCAAGAAGGCAGATCATCACCACCTTCTGAAGGGCAACTAGTGACAGACAAGAAGTGCAGGCCAGTTAGCAATGCCCACATCCCATGAGAGAATAAAGTGATCTCTACAACCATAAGTCCAATGGCAGATGCATGGATCACCATCACCTATAGGTTCTCCTCCAAGCTGCATACCATCTTATATTAGAACTACATCATCAGTCCTTCACTACTACCAGGCCATAATCCTTTAATTCCCTTTTAAGAGCACCATGGGTGTCCCCACTCCAAGGATTGCAGCAATTCAAGGTAGCTCACCTCCACTAGCTTTGCCAATGATGCCCAAATCCCATGACCAAGAGGAAAGTTAAAATCAAAAAGAGTCCTGGAATGGAACCTGAACCCAAATCCTTGGGATTTGTAGCAATAGTGTTAACACCTCTGCCACAGCTAATGCTGAACTAACGCCAGATATACAGCATTAGGATCCTGGTGGAGTGCCGAATGGTTCAACATGACTTTGGACAATGTACGCTGCTACTATATATTTCTGAAGTTCCAAATGGATTAAAGCCATGCTCTGCGGTCAAGTGTCTTTGCTAAAATTGGGGTTCTTGACAGATTTACACAAGATCTGATAAGGACAAGTTGGCCATCGACCTGACAGGCTTACAATCAAATGGCAACTTTGACAGATTATATAACTACTGGGCTTTCAGTCAAAACACTGCACATGCATCTATTGTCTACATGTGCCCCATGCTGCAAATCAACCTCATGACAGTGAGAAATTAATCTTTGACTCAGTACTGTACTTGCTTGTATAAATGCTGTAAACAAAATCTCAAAAAATTAGTAATCCTGCCAAAACCACTGCATGATTATTTTCAACTAAATAACTGCAAGTTACTGATGCTCACCGGTAAGACATGCTTCTGTTTCTTGGAGAACTCAGCAGGTTTGCCAGCATCTGTGGAGAGAAAGCAGAGTCAAATTTCAGGTCCAGTAACTCATGAGAACCACAAGTTCTACTACTAACTGATGAGGGGAGACTGGACCCGAAATGTTGACTCGACCCGAAATGTTGACACTTTCTCCCCACAGACGCTGTCAGACCTGGTGTTTTTGGTTTAGTTTTCTATTTCCTGGTACAGCTGATACAATGCCCGAGGTGGACAGTCTCGTATCAAAATTAGATTGCACTTAGTGCTGTGTCCCTGTTAGAAACTATGTTGAAAATGGCCAAACCGCTCACATCAAGCTTACAATTGTGTAGGAGATAGGAAATCGTACAACTAAAGGTCGTTTCACAGGAGACTGCATAAACCCAAAATAACTGCCTCATTCCAATAACAATTACTCAACAGGCCAGCTGAAGGAACAGTTTAAATAAGGTAGGTGGTGGGGAGGTGAAGCAATTCAAGCTGTTGTTTTAACAAAAGCTGAAAGCCATGCTATGTAATCACAATAACCATCAATCACTATACCCTACAATGCCAATCTGTTGACTGCAAAACTGGTTTGTACCCAAAGTACACTGAAACATTTTACATTACTTGGCCAAACACAAACAGTTCCACAGGTTATCTTGATGCCTTATCAGGGAGTATCCAGATTAAGCTCAACAGCTTAAAATCCAAAATATCTAATGAAGTCAGATTATGTTCACATGAACTCAAAAAGATGTATTAATCTGCGGGATGTTGGAGTCACTGGCTGGCTAGCATTTATTGCCTGTCCCTGGGTTGTCCTCGAGAAGCTGGTGGTGAGCTGCCTTCTTGAATAGGCCCACCATGCCATTAGGAAGGGAATGCCAGGATTTCAATCCAGTGACAGTGACAGTGAAGGAACAGCGATTTTTTTTTTTACTCCCAAGTAAGGATGGTGAGTGGCTTGGAGGGGAACATGTAGGTAGAGATGTTACACGTATCTACTGCCCTTGTCCTTCGAGGTGGAAGTGGTTGTGGGTTTGGAAGGTGCTGTCTGAGGATCTTTAGTAAATTTCTGCAGTGCATCTCAGATAGTACACACTGCTGCTACTGAGCAACAGTGAGAGGCATCATGATCTTTAAGGAAAATATTAGAAATCAAAGGTACTTCCAATTTGCTAACATGCTAAATTTCTGCACGATTATCAATTTTTCTTCCCTTTTTATCTTGGAGGAGTTCTCTTTACATGAGCATGATTGTTGAAATACAGAACAGCATACCGAATTTAATTCACCCATAATAAATTGCAACTTTTGAGATGCTGCACTTGCCACTTAAGCCAACTTTCTGATGGCTTCCAGACACATTAGATACAGACTGTACCAGGAAAATAATAGCTCATTAAACTATTCTCTGAAAATAATCTCCAGGAGAAAAACATGTTATTTAAAACTTATACAATGAGGTATAAGTGTATATCAAATTTCAAGTATAGTATATTTGGAGCATACTAACCCAAGTTCTGATCAAATTGAAATATTAACGCAATTTTCTTAGATGTTGCCAGATCAGTTATGTCTTTCCACCATTTTCTGTTTATTACATCTATGATACAATCCCAGCTTTTTCCATCTAATAAAAACACTAAAGATTGAAACGAGTTGTGCATAATGGATACGCAATAGATTATGCAAAGTTTTACTTATGGCTAAATCTTACACACATCCACTTTCTGCCCTTCCCCATTTCCAAAGATTCAACCCTCAAGAAATTCCTCCACATCTCAGTCTTAAATTAGTGCTCCTTAATTCTGAACACTGTCTCCTGTGGTTCTAGGCTCTCCATAAGGGGAACCATCCTCTCGCATTTACACTGTCAAGCCCTGTAAGAACGAGATCACCTTTCATTCTAAAATTCCGATGAATAGAGTCCCAATATGTTTAACCTTTGTCACAAAATAATCCCTCCATACCAGTGATCATCCTAGTGAATCTTCTAGGAACTGCCTCCAATGAAATGGTATCCTTAAAAAATAAAGGGAACCAAAACTGCTCTCACTACTCCAGATGTGGTCTCTACAGTAACACTTCCATACTGTCTCACTCCAACCCCCACGACATAAGGGCCAACATTTCATTAGCCTTAATGATTGCCTATTGCACCTTAGCACTAGGTTTGCGTTTCATGCACAAGTGCCCCCTTTGTGTTGCAGCTTTCTTCAGTTTCTCTCCACTTAAACACTATCCTTAGTTCTCCTTACCAAAATCAACAATTTCACATGTTCCCACCATTTATACACCATTTGCAATTTTGTCTACTTAACCTTTTAGAGTCACACAGCATGGCAACAGACCTTTCAGTCCACGCTGACCATGTTCCCAAGCAAAACTGTCCCACTTGGCCCATATTCTTCAAATCTTTCCTATTCACATACTTACTCAAATGTCTTTTAAATGCTATAACTGTACCTGCATCCACCATTTCTTCTGGCTGTTCACCCCACATGAACCACTGTGTAATAAAGTAGTCCTTTATAAAACTTCCTCCTCTCACCTTGGAAAAAAAATATGCCCCCTAGATTTGAACTCTCTAACCTTAGGGAACAGACCTATGCTATTCACCTTATCTACGCTCCTTATGATTTTATAAATCTCTACTGGGTCATCCCTCAACCTCCCACGCTCCAGTGGGAGAAGTCCCAGTCTATTCAGCCTACTTTTGTAATTCAAACCTTCTATTCCTGGCAACATCCTGTTAAGTCTTTACTGAACCCTCAAATTTAATAATGCCCTTACTATCCATGTCTGCTCATCCAAATCATGTGTAAATAACAAAACTCGACCCAGTATCATTCACTCCAGTCTGAAAACCACCCTGTCTCCTACCATAAAGCCAATTTTGTATCTAATTGGCAAGCTCAACCTGAATCCCATGTGATCTAACTTTACTTACTAGCCTACCAGGTGGAATCTTATCAAAAAGTTTTACTAAAATCCAAGTAACCAATATCTACTGCTCTGCCCTCAATCTTTTTGGTTACAGCCTCAATAAACTTAAATCAAGTTGGACAGAAGATTTCCCCTTGCACAAAACCATGCTGACTATCCCTAATCAGGACCTGCCTCTCCAAATGCATGTAAAATCTTATCTTTCAGGAACTCCTCCAACAACTTCCTCCCCGTCAATGTCAGGCTTACAGGTCTATAGTTCCCAGGCTTCTCCTTTACAGCCTTCTCAAATAAAGGTACAACATTAGCCATTGTCCAGTCCTGACACCTCACCCATGGTTATAGATACAAATATTTCTGCCCCAGGGTTTCTGCCCTAACTTCTCACATCATCAGTACATTTGGACATAGGACTTCCTGTGCTGTTATCCAAGTCATTAATAAATGTGAATAGCTGACATCCTAACAGATCCTTTTAGGATACCACTGGTCACACATTGTCCCCATTTTGTCACTTGTCTCTCAGAATTTCACCCTCAATTCCAGGGGCTTCTGCCTCAGATAGCAGTCTCGTGTAGGACTTTATTAAATGCCTTCTGGAAGAAGTTCATGCAAACAACATCTGTAGACTTTCCCATCAACTACCTTAGTCACGTCTTCAAAAAAAATTCAATGAGATTTGTCAGATTTGACCTACTTGTCATGAATCCATGCTGGCTTACTTTGATTTATTGATTGTTTGAAATGTTTAGTTACCCCATCCCTGATTATGGATGCCAACAATTTCACCATATAGTGTTAACTGGTCTGTAATTACCACTTTAGCCCTTCTGAAAAAGCAGAGTGACATGTGCAATTTTCTAATCCAGGCAGACAACTCAAGGGAAATCTGAAAGATTATAGTTAAGGCATTTACGTGTTCTCCTACTTTAAAATTAACAGTTGCAAATCTTCAGGTCTGGGGATTTGTCACTCTCCAATTCTATTAGGGCGACACGGTGGCACAGTGGTTAGCACTGCTGCCTCACAGCGCCAGGGACCTGGGTTCGATTCCAGCCTCGGGCGACTGTCTGTGTGGAGTTTGCACATTCTCCCCGTGTCTGCGTGGGTTTCCTCCGGGTGCTCCGGTTTCCTCCCACAGTCCAAAGATGTGCAGGTTAGGCGGATTGGCCATGCTAAATTGCCCGTAGTGTTCAGGGAGGTAGAGGGTGTATATTAGGTGGGTCATAGGGGGATGGACCTGGGTGGGATGCGCTGAGGTTCGGTGTGGACTTGTTGGGCCAAAGGGCCTGTTTCCACACAGTAGGGATTCTAATTCTAATTCTAAAAAAATTAGTTTCCTCAATGTAAATAAAGCAAAGTTTATTCAGTCCCTGTCTCTGATCCACTATTAATTTCCTCGCAATTTCTAGCAAGCTATCCTCCTTTCCTACGGTAAATACTGAGGTAAAAGTAATTATTCAACATGTCTGCTATTTCCTTAGTGATTGACAATATCACCACTTTCAAAGTTCAGTACTTCAAGTAGGAAACTTACTAGCACCTTCTCAATGCCAACTAGAAATTGCTAGTTAAAATGCTTGCCTAGCTAGTGATGCCCACATCCACAAATTAAAAAAGCTGGACATTTTATACCCATTTAAGAGGATAAACAGAACCTCAGGGGCACCCCTTTTTATCCATTCATGGGACATGGATACCACTGGCTGGCCAGCAATTATTACTTGTCCCTAGCTGCCCGAGAAGCCGGTGGTGAGCTGCCTTTCTTGAACCACTGCAGTCCACGTGCTGTTGGTTGACCCACAATGCCCTACGGGAGCAAATTCCAGGATTTTTACCCAGTGACAGTGAAGGAACTGCAATATTTCCAAGTCAGGATGGTGAGTTGCTTGGAGATGCTCTTGCAATTGGCGCTGTTCCAATATATCTCCTGCCCCTATTCTTCCATGTTGAAGTTGATGTGATTCTTGGAAGTGCTGTCTAAGTTAAGTTTCTCAGTATATCTTGTAGATAGTACACACTGCTGCTACTGAGCATGTGGGGGTGGTGGCAATGAATACTTGCGGATGTGGGCTAGTTTGTCCTGGATGGT